ACACACAGACAGACTGCTGAGTGTACACACACAGACAGACTGCTGAGTGTACACACACTGCATTGAGGGGTACATTGTATGTGTTTGTGTGTGTGTGTGTGTGTGTGTGTGTGGGTGTGATGTGTGGGTAGGGTGATGTGTGGGTGTCTTTGTGTGGGGTGATATGTGTAGGGCAGGGGTGCTGTGTGTATGTCGTCCCCCTCTCCCCCCGTCCCACACTCAGTTTTCTCCCCCCATACCTCCCTCAGTTTCCCCCCCAATATCTCTCCCTCAGTTCCCCCCCATAACTCCCCCCCTCAGTTTCCCCTCCATCTCTCCCTCAGTTTCCCCCCATCTCTCCCTCAGTTTCCCACCCATATCTCTCCCACTCATTTCCCCCCCATATCTCTCCCACTCAGTTTCCCCCCATATCTCTCCCTCATTTCCCCCCCCATATCTCTCCCTCAGTTCCTCCTCCCATATCTCCCTCGGTTTCCCCCATATCTCTCCCACTCAGTTTCCCCCATATCTCTCCTCAGTTTCCCCATATCTCTCCTTCAGTTTCCCCATCTCTCCCTCAGTTTCCCATCTCTCTCCCATTTCTCTCTCTCCTCGGTTCCCCATCTCTCTCCCTCCCAGTTTCCCCACCTCTCTCCCTCCCGTCCACTCAGTTTCCCCCCATCTCTCTCCCCCACTCGTTCCCCCCATCTCTCTCCCTCAGTTCCCCCCCATCTCTCTCCCTCAGTTTCCCCCCATCTCTCTCCCTCAGTTTCCCCCCATCTCTCTCCCTCAGCTTCCCCCCCATATCTCTCCCTCAGTTTCCGCCATATCTCTCCCTGGTTTCCCCCCATATCTCTCCTCAGTTCCCCCCATCTCTCTCCTACTCAGTTTCCCCCCTCTCTCCCCACTCAGTTCCCCATCTCTCCCCTCGGTTTCCCCATCTCTCTCCTCAGTCCCCCCATCTCTCTCCCCTCAGTTTCCCCATATATCTCCCTCAGTTCCCCATCCTCTCTCCCTCCAGTTTCCCCCCCCAATCTCTCCCTCAGGTCCCCCCCCCCTTGAGCTCCTACCTTGTAGCGTGGCCGAGCGCACCGCGGAGCTCAGTTTCCTGTACCCGGCTGACAGGAAGTGCTCTCTCTGTGAGCACTTCATTTCTGTCCGCCCGGGTACAGGAAACATAAGTTCCTGTACCGCGGTGCGCTCGACCACGCTACACAGAGTGCCTGGCAGGAGGGAGCGCTCTGCGCTATGCGTTCAACTCCTGTCGGTCACTCCGGCTTTGCGCCCGCCGGGCTGGTGCGCCCTAAGGCGGCCACTTGTGCCGCCTTATGGATGCGCCGGCAGAGCGCACCCTCCCTCCGGCGACCTATGGCCGCGTGTCCACAGAGGGGGCTCGGCGTGCCACCTGTGGCACGCGTGCCATAGGTTCGCCATCACTGCCCTATAATGTGCAGCACTGTGTTTGCTTGCAGGGGCATACCTAGGGACCACTGGGCCCCTGTGCAAGAATTAAAGAATGGCCCCCTTGTCACTCCACCTTGTCGTTATTCTCGCTCCTCGTCACTCCCCACTAAGCAATACACATGGTTGAGATGTGTGTGGTTTCTTTGTGTGATTGTACTGTTGCTGACTGTTGCATGTATGTGTGTAGTTGGATGAATGTGATTGTGATTGTGAGGTAGAGTAGGGGGAGACTGAGAGTGACACAAGGAAAGGAGATCCTGAGACAGCTAGAAAGCTAGAGAGAGACAAAGAATGACACAAGGAAAGGATAGCCTGTCTCAGCTATAAAACTAGAAAGACAGAGAGAGTGACACAAGGAAAGGAGAGCCAGAGACAGCTAGAAAGCTAGAGAGAGACAAAGAGAGACACAAGGAAATGAGAGACTGAGACAGCTATAAGATTAGAGAGACAGAAAGAGTGACAAGGAAAGGAGAGCCGGAGATGGCTACAAATCTAGAGAGAGACAAAGAGTGACACAAGGAAACAAGAGACTGAGAGAGCTAGAAAGCTAGAGAGAGACAGAGTGACACAAGGAAAGGAGCGCAAGAGACCACTAGAGAGAGACAGAGTGACACAAGGAAAGGAGAGCCAGAGACAGCTAGAGAGGTAGAGAGAGACAGAAAGGAAGTGAGACACATAAAGAAGTAGAGTCAGGAAAAGACAGCCTCAGATGTGTGCAGGGAGAGGTGAGGTAGAGTATTTCACTCACCTTAATCCTGTGTGCCACTTTCCAGGCTGGGACAGGGCTTTTAGGAGGCCTCAGGTCTGCTGGGCTTGCTCTGTGCTCCCCTGTGCTGTCTGAGTGCTGTCATCCTGGGAACTGAGGGAGGCGCTCTGCAGACAGGGTAGGAGGCAGCTCTGCCAGAACTCTGCCCAGGAAGAATTGAGGGGAAGGCATTGAATTCCTGCATGTGTACTAGATGTGCCTCCGCGGCACACACAAACAATGAAGATAGCGGGATAATCCATCTGCATCCCATTCTGCCCCTTACTGAGGTTACTGGCCGAGCAGTGAGGTAGGATAATTGCTATTTAGTATAGTGGCGAACTGGCAATATACTGAATAGCAGTTTTGCAAAGGGAGGCAGTCCTGTCAGCAGGGGTTGACAGACCGGCCGTGGCCCCTGGTGTGATGGGCCCACTCGCAGCTACGACCCCTGCAACCACGGTAGTTCCGCTATTGTTTGCTTGTGACTTGTCTCTGGTGTCTCCATTAGTGGGATACCAGAGAACAAAAAGGTTAGGGGAGAGTACCATGCATGTGTTTGGTAGATAATTGTGGTATTGTGTATGTGTAGAGTGAGCTGTTTGTGTGTCATGTTGTGTGTGTGTAAGGGATCTAGCGTATGTGGAAGTGACCAATAGTGTGTATGGGATGTACTTTGTGTGTCAGGGATGCTGTTTGTGTGTCAGTGATGTACTGTATGTGTCAGGGATGTTGAGTGTGTGTCAGGGATTTTAAGTATGTGAAAGGGGTGGTGCAGTGTGTCTATAGGTAATCAAATGCTTGTGAGGGGTGCAATATTCGTTACTATGTTGGGGCCTGTATTGTAGGCATAGAGTGGTATGACAGGGGTCAGGGCTGTATTAACATAGGGGCTGATGGAGCTGCAGCTCCAGGCCCAGGCCCAGGCCCATGGAATAGGCCCATTACTTTTTTTGTAACTTTTTTTTTTTTTTACTTTTTTTTTTTTTTACACACTACTCTTAGGTCTGCCACCTGACTAGTATTTTAAGGCTCAGCCAGTATTTCAGGCTGCCTGGCTGTGACGGTATTGCAGTAATACCGGCAATACAAATGCAAATATTTTTCTCAGTATAAACGGAGATTGCTCTGCAATACCAGCACCGGCCAGGGGTCACTGTCTATGGAGAGAGGCAAGGATAGGAAGTTACAGCATCTATCTGCCTCTCTCTACTCACTGATCCGCAGGGGAGCAGCTGCACAGCACAGAGAGTCCAGACAGCAGCTCCCAGCCTGCAGAGACAGACTACAACTCAGGTATGTGAAGGATGGGGAAAAGGCAGCAGGGAGACATGGGGACACTGAGACATTAGGGGACACTGGGAGATGTGGGGACACTGAGACACTTGGGGACATGTGGAAACATGGGTACAATGAGACACTAGGGGCACTGTGAGACATGGGGACACTGAGACACATGGGGATGCTGTGAGACATAGGGAGACACATTGGGACATGGAGACACTAGGGACACAGTGTCCCCATGTCTCCCAGCCAGTGCATCAGTGTCCCCATGGCTCCCAGTGTCCCCTAGTCTCCCAGTGTCTGTGTCCCCATGTCTCTGTGTCCCCATGTCTCAGAGTGTAACCAAATGTCTGTATCCCCATGTCTCCCAGTGTCCCCATGTCTCCCAGTGTCCCTATGTCTCTCAGCCAGTGTCCCTAGTGTCCCCATGTCTCCCAGTGTCTGTGTCCCCATGTCTCTGTGTCCCTAATGTCCCCATGTCTCCCAGTGTCCCCAAATGTCTCAGTGTCCCATGTCTATGTCCACAAGTGCTCCCAGTGTACCCAAGTGTCTGTGTCCCCATGCCTTCCAGCCAGTGTCCCTTGTGTCTGTGTCCCCATGTCTCCCAGTGTCTGTGTTTCCATGTCTCTGTGTCCCTAGTGTCTTAGTTTCACCAAATGTCTGTGACCCCATTTCTCCCAGTGTCCCCACATGTCTCAGTGTCCCCATGTCTCCATGTCTCCCAGTGTCCCCATGTCTCCATGTCTCCCAGTGTCCCCATGTCTGTATACACAAGTGCCCCCATGTCTCCCAGTGCCTCCATATGTCTCAGTGCCCCCGGGTCTCTGTGTCCTCATGTCTCACTGTGTCCCCATGTCTCAGTGTCCCCTAGTATCCTAGTGACACGGGACACACTGAGAAATGGGGACACGGGGGAAATGGGGACACAGACACTGGGAGACTAGGGTACTGGGCGACATAGGGACACTGACACTGTGATATATAGGGACACTGATGCCAGGCTGGCCTTCCAATTCTTTGGACAGATATGCCCCCTTTTTGGGCATGTTTGCCCTTTTTGGCAGTTCTGGTCATGTGATTGTGTCAGTGGCCCATCCTTTTACCCCGCCCATTGACTTCATGCTTCACTGGACACTGCTGTTAGGGGCTATGGATTTACTTGAAAGATGAAAGTATACATTAGAGAGAGATTAGCATAGAGTATGTGTTTTCTTATAGCTGCATCCTTTGAGTTTCCCTCCAACACCAACTCCATCAGATACATGACGCTTGAGAGGTATGACTGTTTTAGTGTTTTTGGTCGATAAGATTCTGTAATTAGGCCCCATCATAATTGTCAGCACCAGGCCCACCGAGCTCTTAATCTGGCCCTGACAGGGGTGCACATGAATAATTAAATAAATAGGTATAAATATATATATATATTCTTTAATTCATTATACATTTTTTTAATTCATTATACATTTTTTAATTCATTATAAATGATCGAATAAGCATTATTCCTTCCTCCATAATTCTTCCCTTTGGTCTCTAGACTGGCACCTTCGCCATTGGCCATAGCTATAAGAAGTGTGGCTGGCACCAGCCCTGCATAGGTTGGCAGGGGAGATCCTTTGATATCCCCTGCTGGCCTCGGCCCATGGCCATAACTGCCCACTGGGCATTTGATGCTGGCAAATGTAGACCTGTGGATTCTTGGATCCTATTCAGGGTGGCAGTTACCCAGTCCCCAAATTTAAACAAATATAGCTTAACTGGACATAGAGATTTTTCCCCTATTAAGTAAACTTTTATATGTTTGGAAGAAAATGGATATTATAATGAAAGCAGCTTGGAAAAAAGTCCAACTTATTTCTTGTCACACTTGGCATACATTCCTTCACCTTGTACCAGGGGCCTACGCAGCACTTCTTTAACTAGTACGACCCAACTTAGCTTTTCCCTGTTATTATACACATTACCAGACACACCTCATGGGAGTTAGATTTGCCTTTTAGTGAACTTTAGCCATAGTGTACTGAAGTTAGTTTAAGCCAGCAGAGGAATATAAAAAAAAAACCTCTGCTCCTTGAAGATCCATTCAGTCAATCAGCCGAAGACTAGATCTATTTTTTTCATAAACAAATGATTTGACTAGGCTGTTTAGGATAATGATTTGTCTATGATAAATGATTTGGCTAGGCTATTTTCCTGATGTAAGGACCACCTTTCTGTCCTCTACACAGTTAATTTTCCCTCCACCTTAGGCCTGGAGGAAGAGATAAAGCTATTGCCAGACTTTCCCTGGTTAATAATTGGGTTGTGTAGATTTTTTATCAATAACATATATACATGTTTTATTAACCCCTTAAGGACACATGACGGAAATATTCCATCATGATTCCCTTTTATTCCAGAAGTTGTGTCCTTAAGGGGTTAAATTCTGAATACCATGAAAGAGAGCAGTGCAGCATGCTGTGTTCTGCTTTTAACAACGAAGGGGTTAATTAAAATGGCACTGCTCACCGAGTAAGATATTGCATGTTGTCCCACAAAATGTGAGCACATTCTCAAAAGAACTGGTTTTGTGACTCCTATGTAACTGCAACGCCATCTAGTAGAGAGCTAATGGTGATGCTGCTACTGTGATTTCATATGGATTGGTTTTGCCCCTGTTGGAAGCTTTTTTTTTTTTTTTTCGGATGCAATGTTAGTAATAGTATTTTTGATATAGCTTCATAGTAACATGAAAAATACAGCATCAGAGTCTAATAAATCCTATTTAATGATATACATATATGTATTATTTAAAAATAAAATGTATTCTTTGAACAAAACATATTTCTTAAAAGTCTTAATAGAGAATATGAGAAAACTACTTTTGGTTCACTTATGCCATTACCAAAAGAACATCCATTCACATATCAGAATGTCCCCAGCCATAAGAACAGTACAAATCAGAAATGCTATCTCTGCATGAAAAATACAGCAACCGTAGATATTTTTTTTTGTTAGTTTGTTTATTATCAGACAGTAAGGGAAAGTAAGGGACATTATTCAAGTGTTGAAAGCATATCATATCACTCTTTCACATCACCACTCAACATTTTACTAGTATGAAGGTTATGCTACCCTTCATATGTGTATAAGAGGTCAGAAGACGAGAATATACACTTATGAAAGGTAGCGTAACCTTCATACTAGAAAAATGTTGGATGGTGATGTGCAAGAAGAAAGCGAGAGTAGATAAAGAAAACAAGGAGAGCGCAATAAAGGGAAGGCCTCAAGTAATATCTCATGGGGCCAGTTGACCCTAACAAGGGAGTCATACTTCCTTAAAGGACTACTATAGTGCCAGGAAAACATACTCGTTTTCCTGGCACTATAGTGCCCTGGGGGTGCCCCCCACCCTCAGGGTCCCACTCCTGCCCGGCTCTGGAAGGGGGCAAGGGGTAAAAACTTACCTTTTTCCAGCGCTGGGAGGGGAGCTCTCCTCCTCCAATCCTCCTCTGTTCCTCCCTGTCGGCTGAATGCGCACGCGCAGCAAGAGCTGCGCGCGCATTCAGCCGGTCGCATAGGAAAGCATTCACAATGCTTTCCTATGGACGCTGGCATGCTCTCACTGTGAAAATCACAGTGAGAAGCACGCAAGCGCCTCTAGCGGCTGTCAGTGAAACAGCCACTAGAGAATTTGGGGGAAGGCTTAACCCATTCATAAACATAGCAGTTTCTCTGAATCTGCTATGTTTATAAAAGAATGGGTTAATTCTAGCTGGACCTGGCACCCAGACCACTTCATTAAGCTGAAGTGGTCTGGGTGCCTAGAGTGGTCCTTTAAATGAAGGAATTGAATTATGAATTAGTGCAATGAGCTTATCTATTGGGGTATAATGTCCATTGGAGGAAAATCCATTGGGGTTACAGTGTCATTCAGCTACGACTGGGCTAGTGTCTGCCTTGTCATCAATGTAACCTTTAGCATAAGTTTATGCTCCCTGGAGGTCAGACTGTCCTCTCCAATCTGGAGAATAGGCAGGGTCAAGGCTTAAGTGTCTAAAGAGAACTATCTAATGTTAGATAAGAGGTGAATTTCCTGCCAGGATAGAAAATGTTTTTCATCAAAGTACTATGGTACAATGAGGTGTCAATCAACTCTATTTTAAATTAAATGGAAACCTTTGTATGATGCAGTGATAATGAAAGGGGGGAGGAAACAATCCTGTGATGCAACATACATTTATGAGCAGCAGTCCAAATCTTTTGGGCTAATTTGGGATTGCAACTGGATTCCTCTACTGGCACCTCCAATGTTGTTAATAATGGAGAAATGTGGAATGGTCTACCCATTAATAGAATTATCTAAACTTTTCCAGAATGCCCAAATCCCCACACACTATACATGTGCACCAGTGAAATTTTCATTTCGTACGAATGATTTCATACGAAATAAAAATGTAATTTGTCAATCCCGCATTTCGTCCGTAAACCATTTATTTTTGAACGAAATTCGTTAAAAAATAATGCATGCGCAAAAAAAAAGCAAGGAGGGAGCCGGCTCCTTGTAATAGAAACCATTCCTATCCCCGCACTAAAATCTATGGGGGTCACTCTGACCGCCGTATTAATAAAAGGGAGGTTAAATCCTCCCGCATGCCCCTACTCGTGGCATGCCTTGAGTAGGGGCATGTCGCCTAAACAAATTTAAAACTACTAGTGACTCTTTGTCTCTCTTTAGATTTGTAGCCATCTCTGGCTCTCCTTTCCTTGTGTCACTCTCTCTGTCTCTCTAATCTTATAGCTGTCTCAGTCTCTCCTTTCCTTGTGTCTCTCTTTGTCTCTCGCTAGCTTTCTAGCTGTCTCTGGCTCTCCTTTCCTTGTGTCACTCTCTCTGTCTCTCTAGTTTTAGAGAAATAATGAAGCCCCCAAAAAGGCCAAATAAAAATTCATAATACCAGTTGCAACTGTTAAATTAAAAAATAAACCTCAGCGCAAAAAAAAAAAAAATGCCTCCCCACCCCCAAAAAAATCCTGCCAGTAAAAAAATAATCCATCTTCATGCAGAATGAGCTCCGGAGAGCAGGGAAAGGTTTATAAAGCTTTCCCACGCCCTGCAATTAGGCTCAGAGCACTGTGATTGGTTAGTTTAAGCAAACCAATCAGAGTGCTCTGACAGGTAAACGAAGAGACTGGCAGGTAAATCTCTAGATTTACCTGTCACAGCACTCTGACTGGTTGGGTTTGAAATCGCTGTGTATCATTTTACACAGCGTGGGAAAAGTTATTTGGAATTTTCCCATGCTGTGTAATTTGAATCATAACCTTCTGATCAGTTGCTTTCTCATTCTGTACGTGCCCTCGTTGGGTGAAAAAGGATTATTTTTTTGACCGTCGGGATTTATTTTTTTTCGGCGTATTTTTTTTTTTGCATGCAGGTTTTTTTAATGGGTATTATGGATTTTTATTTGGCCCTTTTTGGGATTGAAGAAAGAAAAGAAAGAAGAAGACATCTAATGGTAAGTGACATTTGATTTTACTGGGTTAGTTTATTTCCCCCTCTCACTATTTTTAGGGTGAGGGGGGTAGGTAGGGTATTTTATTATTTGTGGTCCCCACCTGCCAGTCAAATATTAGGTCCTCCCCATTATTTATTTATTTAAGGTCCCCACCTGCCGTTCATGGGTGGGGACCAGGGGGACATTAGGTCCCCCCTTTAATTGATTAGGGTCCCCACCCACCGCTCATGGGTGGGGATACGGGGGGGACCTAATTATTTAGGGTCCCCACACGCCGCTCATGGGTGGGAATCAGGGTGGGAATTAGGTCCCCCCTTTAATTAATTAGGGTCCCAACCCACCGCTTATGGGTGGTGACCAGGGGGGATATTAGGTTTCCCCGTTTATATTAATAGCCCCCACCCACAGGTCATGGGTGGGAGTGCTCAATAGCTGCCCAGTCTCTAGTACTTTTAAATTTGTTTAGGTGACATGCTCCTACTCGCGGCATGTGGTTGGATTTAACCTCCCTTTGAATCAATATGGGAGTCTTAGTGACCCCCATACTGATTTAGGCTGCTCGCTGTATAGGAAACATACCCCTACTCGTGGCATACCTCGCGTAAGGGCATTCAGGAGGATTTAACCTCCCTTTTATAAACATGGGGGGTCATAGTGACCCCCACAGGTTTTAATGCGGTTGGGGTTGTAATTAATATTATTACAAGGAGGGAGCTGGTCACGCTGCCGGCTCCCTCCTTTTTTTATTTTTCGTGCATGCGCAGTGATATTTTCTCCATGGGTTAATTTCCCTGCAGCACGGAGTCTATTAAACAAATGAAATGAAACAAAAAGGTAATGATCTAACAAACAACGTTGATCTTTTGACCAACATTCAAGTAGGTGAGCACTTGGGAAATAGTGATCACAATATAGTGTCCTTTGAAATAAACTCAAAAAAACAAAAGCACATGGGGAATACTAAAACATATAATTTTAAAAAGGCCAATTTCAATAAGTTAAGGGAAGCTTTACAATATATTGACTGGCATAAACTCTTTAGTGAAAAGAACTCTGAGGATAAATGGATCATCTTCCAACAAATATTAAAAAGGTACATTTCTCAGTATGTACCGTTGGGAAATAAATATAAAAGAAACAAATTAAAACCAATGTGGCTTAGTAGAGAAGTAAAACAAGAGATTACAACTAAGAAAAGGGCATTTAAAGCATTTAAATCGGACAAATCAGATGCATCTTATAAAAAGATATAAGGATGCAAATAATGCGTGCAAAAAGGCAATTAGACTTGCTAAACTTCAAAATGAAATAATGATAGCTGAAGAGAGCAAAACCAACCCCAAAGCATTTTTTAAGTACATAAATTCTAAAAAACAAACAAAATGAAAGTGTAGGTACACTAAAAACTGAAACGGGGGTGTTAGTTAATGAAGACCAGGAAAAGGCAGGAATTTTAAATAACTATTTCTCCTCTGTATATATTAAGGAAGAACCTATGGCAATAGATGTGCAAATGATTGCTACTAAAAACTTGCAGAATAATTGTAATTGGTTAACTCAAGACAAGGTGCTGCAGCAACTAAAGAAAGTTAATATAAACAAAGCTCCAGGGCCTGACGGTATCCATCCACGTGTACTTAAGGAACTAAGTGCAGAAATAAGTGAACCTCTGTTTTTAATCTTTCAAGATTCTTTTCTTTCAGGAAGTGTTCCGGAGGATTGGAGGAAAGCAGATGTGGTTCCTATATTCAAAAAGGGTTCAAAATCCTTGCCTGGAAATTATAGACCTGTGAGCTTAACTTCTGTGGCTGGTAAAATATTTGAAAAGTTATTAAGGGATAATATTCAAGAATTCCTTGAGAAGAACATGGTTATCAGCAAAAACCAGCATGGTTTTATGAAGCACAGGTCATGTCAAACTAACTTGATTGCGTTCTACGAAGAAGTAAGTAGAAGTATAGATCAGGGTGTTGCCGTGGATGTGATCTATTAGGATTTTGCCAAGGCATTTGATACAGTTCCACACAATAGATTAGTGTTCAAACTCAAGGAAATCGGTATAGATGAAAATGCTTGTTCTTGGGTAGAACATTGGCTTAAAAACAGAGTACAAAGAGTTATCATTAATGGTAAATTTTCAAGCTGGACAAAGGTAGCAAGTGGTGTCCCTCAGGGGTCTGTTCTTGAAGACCGCATTGAAAGTCATGTTTCAGTGTTTGCAGATGACACCAAACTTTGTAAAACAATACAATGTGAGCAAGATATTACTTTGCTGCAGAGGGATTTAGATAGACTGGGGGACTAGGCACTCAAATGGCAGATGAAATTTAATGTTGAAAAATGCAAAGTTATGCACTTCGGCGTAAAGAATACACAAGCAACGTATACCCTTAATGGAAGCGAATTAGGGATAACAACACATGAAAAGGACTTGGGAATTGTTATAGACAACAAACTATGCAACAATGTGATATGTCAATCAGCAGTGGCCAAGGCAAGTAAGGTATTGTCATGCATGAAAAAGGGCATTCATTCTCGGGACAAGAATATAATTTTGCCTCTTTATAAATCACTGGTAAGATCCCATATTGAATATGCTGTGCAATTTTGGGCACCTGTTCTAAAGAAGGATATTATGGCACTAGAAAAAGTGCAGAGGCGGGCTACAAAATTAATAAAAGGAATGGAACATATCGGCTATGAAGAAAGGTTAACAAATTTAAAACTATTTAGTTTAGAAAAACGTCGCCTGAGAGGGGATATGATAACATTATACAAACCATTGTGTGGAAATCTATTCACAAACCGGACTTTACATAGGACACAAGGCCATGCGTTTAGACTGGAAGACAGAAGATTTTGTCTAAGGCAAAGGAAAGGTTTTTTTACTGTAAGAGTGGAATTCTTTGCCTGAAGAAGTGGTTTTATCAGAGTCCATACAGATGCTCAAACGGCTACTAGATGCATACTTGCAAGAACAGAATATTCAAGGATATAATCTTTCAATGTAGGGTAATAACTGCTTGATCCAAGGATAAATCTGACTGCCATTCTGGGGTCAAGAAGGAATTTTTTTCCTAGCTTGTTGCAAAATTGTGCTTCAAACTGGGTTTTTTTGCCTTCTTTTGGATCAACAGCAAAAAACAAATATGAGGAAGGCTGAACTTGATGGACGTAAGTCTCTTCTCAGCTACGTAACTATGTAACTATGTAACTATGTAATGCATTCGGCATTTGCCCTTTTGTTTTGTTAATATTTCGTATGTAGGGCTTTTGTTTAAGTTTTAGTAAACGAATACGAAAAAACCTGAATTTTCAGATGAAATTGTATTCGGACATAAACGAATGCACATGTCTACCACATACTCCCAATAACAATGGAAAAGATCTGTTCCATCTGACCCACACTTCAGTTAGCTAAATCCCTCATGTTTAGATAAAACTAAATTTGAGTAGAATCGTATGCATGGTGTGCAATTTTTAAAATGCATCTCCTGATAATAGGAGGATAGAAGTAGTTTGAGTAATGTGAAAGTGGTTGCTATGAGCACCTTGGGGGTCAATTTGAGGATAGACAGTCCATCGAGATAAGACTAATTGTGTTGTTGAGTAATCTAAGTGAGGCCAAATTAGGTAACAGAGGGAACCAATGGAGTAAGAATAGTGGTTTGTGCAAGTAAATGATCAATCCATAGTGCTGAAATACGGATGAATTGAGCATATCAGGATATAAATCTGGAGGTAAGCAAAGAAAGGAATGTTGAGGCCAGAAAATTTAAGAATCAACTTATTGTGGTCATCCAGGAAATTGTGTATTGTGAAGCCCCCCCAGAAACAGTAGGGATGTTGGGCTTCCCTGTCCAGAAAATATAGGATACTTAAAGATGGTAATAGATTTGAGTGTTCCTTTGAACTTACTTAACTACACCTGAAAGGTGTGTCGCATTCCCAGTTTATATAATAAAAACCTATACAAGAAAATCTGAATTTTTGTGCATTACTATCCTCTTTACTGGGGACACAAACTAATCCGTAGCCATACAGCCCTTTATTTCACATTTTCTTACACATTTCACTCCTTGGTTAAAGCTGACATATGCAAGAAAATATTATATTGTAAAGGGAATACTTAACAACGTGGATTACAGAAGTTATCATAACATGGTTAGATAGAGTCTATATGGTGGTTCAGTGCTCCAGTAGTATTAGATGAGGGTAGGCAGCTCAAACAACCGATCTGGAGTCTCTTCTTTTTCCAGATAAATGTAACTTGCTTGTACAGAAAGAAATAGAAATAATTGATGAGCTATAAGTTATTTTTCATAATATATTGTTAGATTTATGTTTTAATTGTGCTATTATTATTGTAACTTCTAAGCTCAAGTTGTGGGATGATGATGTCATGATCAAATGATTGCCTCAATGCCATCTTACTACACCCACATACACTTAGTGTACTGCTTGTATGGTTGGATACCGTGTGCCATTTTGGAACCCCATTGGAATTATATAGTAGTACATAAAAGTTAATTTTTACTTTGTATTATTAGGTCTTCTAGGCCTAGGTCATGTGATTGTCACATGACCACCAATCCTAATTGAATTGCACTTATATAAGGAGAGTTGGTCCAGTGTGCTGTAACTCATTGAAAAAGCCACATTGGTGAAACATGTCAGTGTTTCTTTTTATTCTATATTTTATTGTTTTTTAGCTTTAAATGTCAGAATAAAGGTTAATGTATTTATTTAAGACACTCTAGACCCTTCTGCTTTCAATTCATCATATACTGGACATCACTTTCCTTGGTCTGGAACATACCATCTAAACTGTTTGAATTGAGAAAAACACCATTTTGCTCCACATTTGTAAGTGATTTTCATTCTGTGCACTATAGTGTGCACTATATTGCGTATTTCTGTTTTATTACATACTCTTTATATAAAGAGGACTGGCGCTTACCTGCATCCCAGAGAGGGGATTTTACCACTCCATGCTATGTTTTAGGAGCCAACTCATAGGCTCAATAACACACGCGTGCATTTTCATTTTATTACTTATCCATTTTTATCTAAATATACTACACTAGATTAGTCCATCTGTATGTTTTATATTTTTTTATACAAACTCCCGGACTGACTCCCAGACATGAGACCAATGGGAATGCTCAAGAATCCAGAAGCGGGGATTGTACTGCTCATGCTGATACAAGTGGAGCTTGTAATACTGTAAAGCATTACTGTAACCGCGGCTGGTTCCCTTATTTACCACTATAATGTCTTAAAGCATAAAACTTAGTAGGGCTAACCATACAGATATCTTAGCCATAATTTGATATAGTGTAAGAGATCCTCTATTTAACATACATAAATAATTGAGAATACAATATAAAATAAGGATTGTCTTGGAAGCAATAGATTTGTCTTTTAGATATTTATTATATAAAAATATAAATATAAAATCCATTATAGCAGAGCTTATAAGATTAAACTAAATGCTTGCAAATATCATTAATAGGTTAACATACCCTTCTGAACATGTCATCGTGTCAGCCTCTCTGTCATTTTAATATGGAGCAGCGTCTGTCTCCAAGTCTCTCCTCTGTGTCTTAACATTTAAAAGTACACCTATTTATACCTTAGGTGTCTCCATTTTAGGGTTACCGTAGTTCAAATATGAAAAAGTAACTCTTCTTTTACTTTATTCATTTTAGGACCTCCCTTAATTTGGCAAACATATAAGGCCATAACTAAAGGGTGTATACGTCATGGAAATTTTCCTGACTTAGTTCAAGATGGCATCTTAAAGTCTGTACTGAAAGAGTCGTAGTATAGCCTTGAAGCTTGTTTATGCGTTATTGTAATTCGTCTGGGACAAAATGGCGCAAACATATTATGCACTGAGGTTATTGCTTAAAGAAACAGTTATGAAAAACAATATGTTCCATTTCTAACACCTTGTCAGTTTGCAATATCTCTTAAAGACAAAGTACACAGTTTAAGAAATATAACATTTCATTATAAAACTTGTAATATTTGCATTTGCCCATAACACTACCTTCCCCTTCCTATACAAACAAGTTATTATAATATGCTTCCTTTTCAAATAAAAACAGTTTTACACTAGTATTAGAGTATTACTGTGTGATGATTTAATTATTACACTATCAACTACTCTACACCAAATATTATTATGTACTTAAATTTGTAAGGATCTGTATTGCCCAATAAAGTTATAAAAAAGTAAAAAATAAATAACTAAAACTACAAACGTTGCTCTGATAATTGAGCAAAAAGTCTGCTTTAGCTAAACAACACTAACTATTTAAATTTAAGACACGCCAACATTAAATCTCACAAGAAAAAGAAAATTTTTTGTGAATGGTTTGTAATTCCTTGCTATAGCCACTAGATGGCGGCAGAGCACATGAACATCACTTCCTTAGAAGCAAATTAAGAATACTTCAACTAAAAGTATTTTAGAGTCTCCAGAAGAGTATCCCAGTGATTAATAACAATAAGGTACAGGGGGAGACAAAGTACACAAAATGCACATAGAGATATACCTTATTAAAATGTATCACAAGCATTTGAAACAAAAATAGTCTCTTACATTTGTCGCCAGGGCAATTTCTCATAAAATCAGCTGAAGACCATGAGACTATGCTGAGCCTCCTTGTTCACCTTGGATCAGCTGTGCAGTTGTGCGCGGACTTTCTGTGTGGAATTTCTTCTTAGGCACTCAACCTTTACAAATAAATAGCACGAGAAAGTGCTAGATTCGTTTTGCTCATTAGAGCTTTATCAATGGCATAGTGAGGCTCCATCAGAGCACTGCATTTAAATAGGGGCTAGTACATTAAGTTTGACAGACTTCATGCTCCTGATTATTACTCAATGAAAGCTAAGAAAATGCACAACATCTTTACACACGCATGATATAAGCATGTCTAGAATACAAGAATATATGCATACTTTAGGTATATCTAAAATCGATTAATTTTACAGTTACTGTGATAACCATTCATAAACTTCACTTCAACAATCTTTTTTACTTCAGCCTGCTTCTACATTTTATCAATTTTACAAAAAAAGTGTCCTTCTATGTAAAAACAATAGCTTGTGAGTACACTACTTATTTCTAAAGCATAACAGGCTGCCATAGAAACACGCAACACACTGTATGTAATCTAACCATTTACATGGCCTGGGAAAAAGAAGTCTTGTTTCAATGGATAAAATTACATATATACAGGATAAGGCAACATTTATTCTGCATTTGAAATGTCAGATCAAAAGGTAGACTCAACTATAAAATATAGAAATGTAAAAAAAATCCAGGAAATTCATTGCCATGGGGATTGGTAAAAACAGTGGTTCCGTTCACAACCACTAGGGGAGTTATTTTATCCATATCAAAATGGTAGTAAAGCCTATATATTCAATGTATAAAAAAATATTAATAAATTATTCTCTTGGTTAATAAATTTGCTATCCTCTAAAAAAAAACCATACATGTAAAATAATTATTTCCTAGACACAGCATATTCAAATAACCTATTAAAATATTATGTTACCATGTTCAAAATATGAATAGTAGAAATATTTTACCAACATTAGCATGTATGCCCTAATTATCTCCCTAATTGAGCTCTAAAATTGTAAATATTGAAAGAGAATAAAAAAAAACAAAAAAAACCCCTTTTTTTAAAATAAATATATTAAATATGTTTTTAAAAAAAACCTTAGACATATTTCCAGCTTGAATTTTGCATTAAGACTTTCAGGGTTTAAGGTGCTTAGTTGACAGATCCATTTAATTTCTGTCTGTGCTAGTGCTCTAATTTAATCACCCCTCTTCAATTATTTTTCACTATGCAGATAGCCCAAAAATTTAGTAGGCTTGCATTGCCAAGTATTTTATTGTAGTAATGCAAAATGTGCTTCCGATGTTTCTCAGATGCCCCCCTATCTGTATGTATGATTATTTTCCTCTTTGTCCTGCCCACATATTGTAATTTACATGGCCATTCTAAAACATATATTGCATTTTTACTTGTGCGTTTGATTAAATCTTTGAACTTAAAACTTATTTGTTTACTATGTGAAAGAATTGTTGACTTTCATAGATTTTGAATCACTCTTCAAATCGACTTGACAGTTGTGGCAATGGAAAAGGCTTGTCTGCTTGTTCAAAAAATGTTTCTCAGTTTGATGAAACTTTTAATGATGTGGAGCTCCTCTGAAGACTACTCTTTTCTTTTGGAAGAATTTAATTCAAAACACAATCTTTCTTCCATGTTTTCCATCTTCAGTCGTCTTTAGTAGCCACTTAGTCACAAACACTAGCCAAAATTAGCGTTCATATTTGTGTGTGGAAATTGCAAAAAAATAATTTTAACACTAATTTTGGCCAGTGTTTGCTACTAAAAGAGCCTGGACATACCCTATTTGCAATACCTTGGGTTGCCTTCTTTTGTAAATGGAATGCCACAATCGGGGTAATTCTCATTCCTGGGCTACCATACTGTCTGAAAGGCAACATAAACAATTTGGCAAATTTCAATGTGAAAAAACTGAAATGCAAGCCTTATATTTGACTCTGTAACTTTTGAAAACAACATAAAACCTGTACATGGGGGGGTACATTTATACCCGGGAGACCTCACTGAAGAGAAACATTAGTATTTCAAATCCGTAAAACTTATCACAACAATGATAACGTCAGTGAAAGTGCCATTTGTTTGGCACTTTCACTGACAATATCATTGTTGTGATACATTTTACTGTTTTGAAACACTATTATTTGTGTTCAGCGAAGTCTTCCAAGTAAAACAGTATCCCCCATGTACAGGTTTTATGGTTTCCTGGAAAGTTACAGGGTTAAACATGGGTCCTGCAAACCAAATTCTGTGGACTTTATGCCTGGGTTGTCCCTTAAACCGTAATTAATAAAATTACTTAATTGTGTAAAAATATTACATAAATATTTACATAGAATTTAAATATGTATGTATATATATTTGTATATATATGTATGTATGTATATATATGTATATATGTAACTTTTTATTATTTTTATTTATATATAGATAGATATATAGAGATATATATACATACATATTTATTAATATAGATATATATATAATTTTGCTCTATGTGTATTTTGATATCTAGCTCTCTCTCTCTCTATGCATATATATATATCTATATATATATATCAAAATACAGTTAGAACAAAATTACACATGTATATATAATTTTTATGCATTTATTTTTTAATTATTCATTTATTTTATATAATAAATATATATAAAAAATTATAACTATGTATATATATATATATATTAAAATACACTTAGAGACATATATGTGTATGTATGTTTGTATATATATGTATGTATATATATATATATATATATATATATAATTATTTTATTATTTATATAGCGCCATCAGACTCCCCTCTTCCATCGCGATCACATGGCCCAGCAGGGCCGGTTCAGTAGCAGGAGGACTGCCAGGGATGCCAGGCAAGTCCCCACATCGCGATCGCAGACGGGAGATTGCCAGTGATCAGGTAAGTGCATAGGATGGCGTGGACGTACTATGCTGCGCCCCAGCGTTTAGGACCGGGTCCCCAAGGACAACATAGTATGGTCGCTGTCCTTAAGGGGTTAAGGAGCAGCACATGTATGTAAAAATATATTTTTAAATTTCATAAGGCTACTTAAACACTTCTATCTCAGCAAACAAATATTGGGATTTAGTTCCACCATATGGTCATATGGCCAAATTACACTATATCAGTGGATCCTACACTAATTTCAACGTGGGAGACAAATGAAATAGTGCTAGTGTTAAATGAGCTAAAGTGTATTTGAATAATCCGTTGTAAGAGCATTGTGAATATATATAATACATATAATGGAAAATTAATGTGATGAAAACACAATTCAAAAAGATGAAGTGTCAAAACTAAACAGTTAAAGTCATTTTATGTATATATTCAAAATGCTAGTCATATATCTGCTCTTTACCAAATTAAAATTATAATTAAAGTGACCCTTTAGTTAGGACCCCACGTTTTCCTGTCAGATTAACATTTATCCTTTTAATTTACGGGTGTCTATTTCTAGTATAAATATAGATACATAAAGACACGTGTATATATATACAGGGAGTGCAGAATTATTAGGCAAGTTGTATTTTTGAGGATTAATTTTATTATTGAACAACAACCATGTTCTCAATGAACCCAAAAAACTCATTAATATCAAAGCTGAATATTTTTGGAAGTAGTTTTTAGTTTGTTTTTAGTTATAGCTATGTTAGGGGGATATCTGTGTGTGCAGGTGACTATTACTGTGCATAATTATTAGGCAACTTAACAAAAAACAAATATATACCCATTTCAATTATTTATTATTACCAGTGAAACCAATATAACATCTCAACATTCACAAATATACATTTCTGACATTCAAAAACAAAACAAAAACAAATCAGTGACCAATATAGCCACCTTTCTTTGCAAGGACACTCAAAAGCCTGCCATCCATGGATTCTGTCAGTGTTTTGATCTGTTCACCATCAACATTGTGTGCAGCAGCAACCACAGCCTCCCAGACACTGTTCAGAGAGGTGTACTGTTTTCACTCCTTGTAAATCTCACATTTGATGATGGACCACAGGTTCTCAATGGGGTTCAGGTCAGGTGAACAAGGAGGCCATGTCATTAGATTTTCTTCTTTTATACCCTTTCTTGCCAGCCACGCTGTGGAGTACTTGGACGCGTGTGATGGAGCATTGTCCTGCAAGAAAATCATGTTTTTCTTGAAGGATGCAGACTTCTTCCTGTACCACTGCTTGAAGAAGGTGTCTTCCAGGAACTGGCAGTAGGACTGGGAGTTGAGCTTGACTCCATCCTCAACCCGAAAAGGCCCCACAAGCTCATCTTTGATGATACCAGCCCAAACCAGTACTCCACCTCCACCTTGCTGGCGTCTGAGTCGGACTGGAGCTCTCTGCCCTTTACCAATCCAGCCACGGGCCCATCCATCTGGCCCATCAAGACTCACTCTCATTTCATCAGTCCATAAAACCTTAGAAAAATCAGTCTTGAGATATTTCTTGGCCCAGTCTTGACGTTTCAGCTTGTGTGTTTTGTTCAGTGGTGGTCGTCTTTCAGCCTTTCTTACCTTGGCCATGTCTCTGAGTATTGCACACCTTGTGCTTTTGGGCACTCCAGTGATGTTGCAGCTCTGAAATATGGCCAAACTGGTGGCAAGTGGCATCGTGGCAGCTGCACGCTTGACTTTTCTCAGTTCATGGGCAGTTATTTTGCGCCTTGGTTTTTCCACACGCTTCTTGCGACCCTGTTGACTATTTTGAATGAAACGCTTGATTGTTCGATGATCACGCTTCAGAAGCTTTGCAATTTTAAGAGTGCTGCATCCCTCTGCAAGATATCTCACTATTTTTGACTTTTCTGAGCCTGTCAAGTCCTTCTTTTGACCCATTTTGCCAAAGGAAAGGAAGTTGCCTAATAATTATGCACACCTGATATAGGGTGTTGATGTCATTAGACCACACCCCTTCTCATTACAGAGATGCACATCACCTAATATGCTTAATTGGTAGTAGGCTTTCGAGCCTATACAGCTTGGAGTAAGACAACATGCATAAAGAGGATGATGTGGTCAAAATACTCATTTGCCTAATAATTCTGCACTCCCTGTATGCATCTGGCTATAAAGGACTTTCTGTTGCTATTAATGTTGTTAACAAGTGCCGAAGAAGGATTTCTACACAGACAGAAAATGGACAATTGAACTGCAACTGCTGATCCAAGCGAATGAGGAGGATCAAAGCAGGCCCCGTGGTCTTCAGCTGATTTTATTAGAAATTGGCTGCTATAGTTCACTGGCTTTGCATCTTTTACTAATTTGCGTTATATATATTACACAATATTCCTAAATTGTATTATATATATTATTATAAATAGAAACTATAGGGTATTTAGGAACATAGGGAGAGGAGTAGATGGTAAGGAGAGGTGAAGAACAAATTATGTCTGCTTATGATATAAATGAAAGAAAGATCTTTCCCAACTGTCTGTGGCTTTATGTTCCGTTAAGTTGCATTGTTGATGCTGTGGATGCTGGTGAGAGTTTCAGAAATATGGTATTCCATACATAGTAAAAATTGGGTTGCAACATGCTATAAAAGAGAATAATATGTTTGGTGACTTTTTACTTCAAACTAGACTTTTAAAATAATTTGTATTGCTGTTATCAGGGGAACTGTAAGTTGCTAATGGAAAACAAACTGCCAAAGAAATGCAGGAGAAGAAGCTAATCCTCATTGCAAGGGAGTCTGAGAAGGAACAGGAGCTGGACGGTTGTTTATTACTCTGTGCTGCATTTTCATACAATGTAAGAGTCCACTTTTATTAAATAAATGTTTATTTTATTTACTTGATTACACAATATGTGCAATTCTGTGCCCTGTCCACCCCACTCCTTTATCTTTTTTTTTTTTTGTCAATCTGTATTTTATTGAGGCATATTAGATGGGATACAGAATAGAGAGAGGGAAATGTGCATTTAGAATACAGTACAGGGCTCAATAACAGTGGTATCTAACATTTCCTTAATATTTGTACCTCTTTTTTATGTTTTATGATTTAACATTGCTTTTGTAAACAGGTTTAGGCAATATGCAATTTAAGTCGCTTAACATTGACTAGTTGTAACAGGTTAAGTGAACAAGTTTTGTATAGGGTGATTGCGTAAGCTCAGTAGTTCCCTGTTGTGTAAAATTAACTCAAATAATAAGAACACGCTAACATAATAAGCGATTAACTGCTTGCAAATACTGACGTGCCTATATCCCCGGGCACCCCCCACTACTATCTGCCATATGTGCAGTGGTATATGAGCAGACTGGCTAATGTCCAGGCTCCAACAAATAAATATCTATTTGAGCATATTCAAAATCAGGTTAGGGAGACATAGTAAATGAGGGAGAGCAGACTGCAGTGTGTGGGGGCCGTGTGACATATTAAGCATAGCACTAAATCATTACCAACAGCCGTCAAACATGTAGGCGAAAGTTAAGCAGTGAATTCGAGTGAGGAGCAAAGGTTAAAGAGTTCTTTCAGTCCTCTTCATCCCATGCCTCTTCGTGGCCAGTTGTTGTCAGGAGAAGGAAGGCATGTGGAGTCAGTGCAGTGGTTGTGGGTGGAGTTCCCCCTCCAGCCCCAGGCCTTTATGGAGGGTGGCATCTTCGGACCTCTGACTCGAGGGCTCTGAGAGATCGAGGCATTCCCTTGTCGGGTGCAGGTGGAGCCGGTGTATCTTCGCCGCCTGCGGCGGGCAGTCCCCCTGCAGGGTGGTTGATGCTGCGGAGGTGGTTTCCTCGCGGGCATTGTGCTTGCGTTGCTGGTTTGGGGTCAGTTGCTGTGCCCGGAGTGGGGCGCCTCTTCCCCTTAGTGTGTACTGTCTGCTTGTGCGGCTGTGTTTTTCTCTTTTCCCCATGGGCACGGTCGTGTTTACTCGTACCTGTTAGGGGTTGCAGGGTCACTTGAGGTGTTTGCAGCTTTTTATTTAGTTTGTGCCAGAATCGGGCAAAAGCAGCTTCTATGCGCCTCACATCTTCGCTGTCCGTTTCAGATTTGCAGTGCAGCTCGTCTGATGTGCTTGCCGCCGCCATTTTGGGTGCACCACGCGCCCGGCTGCCCTTGTGTTGCAGTTTGTCAGAGTGTTAGTGCAGCTTCTCACTGCCCTTGCTGTCGTTTGGTGCGGACCGAGATGACCCCCGTCGGTCCCGAGGGGGGGGGTAGAAGTGGTCAACCCCGAGGGCACTACATCCAGGTCAGTCAGCCCAGGGAGCGGCTGTCTCCCCGAAGCTCGATCTCCGGCAGGCCTCAGGGTATCTCGTTGGGTCCCGGGGGTTACAGGCTTGTATGTGGTATCGGGCGATTCCCCCGGGTGTCCCCTTCAAGGTAGCCTTCCTCTAGTGTGCGGCTGCACCGATTTTTCGGGGTATTATACCCAGAAAATGCTGAGTAAAGCGGGAGCTGAGGTTCAGCACAACCGCTCAGTCTAGATGCCAGGCTCCGCCCCCCTTCCTTTATCTTTTTAAGTATTGGGATGCACTTTACAAGTTAGACTTTTTTTAGTTAGAAACGGCAGGATTTAGTGATCAACTGGAAATGAGGGGTGATGGAGAGGTCAGAGTCAAAGAGAACACCTAGGCAGCGAGCCTGCAAGGTAGAGCTGATGGTAGTACCATTGAATTGGAGGATAACAGGTACATGAGAGAGGAAAGACGAGAAGCTCTGTTTTGAAAGGGTTAAGTTTAAAGAAATGAGCAGCCATCCAGTTGGAAATAGCAGAGAGGCAGTCAGAGACAGGAATCAGGAGGGATGGGGATAAATCTGAAGAGGAAGGTAGATTTGTGTGTCATCCACATAGAAATTATATTTTAAGCCAAAAAAGCTGATGAGTTTACCAACGGAGGCAGTATAAATCGAAAACCATAGGGGACAAGGACAGGACATTGGCGAAGACGGACAGAGAGGGGTTGTGCAGGAGATAAAGAGCCAGAAAATCCATTGGGAGAGGTAGGAGGAGCATCAGGAAAGCACAGACTCTCATAAACTGAGATTACCGAGTATGAGAAGATGTTAATGATGAGAGAGTAGCAACCACTGGATTTAGCAGTGATTAAGTTGTTGGGTACTTTCGTCAAGGTTGTTACTGTGACATATCCCCTGTCCCTGAATTATTGTATTCCTTTGACTGGTCCGGTATACCAACACCACCGAACAGATTGGACAATTTGGTTCGTATACTGAATGATATTCCGAATGGATAGACCACCCAGAACAGTCGTTTGCCGCTCATTAACCTGCCTGACCTCCTTTAAACTTTCACAAACTGGAATCTTCAACATTCAAAATGGTCGACTGGGTGGCAGCCGTTCATATGGATGAACACGAGGCAGCGGCCATTTTGTTTTCGCAAACGCATACAACACTGTTTGGTTGTCGAATGTATGGAACTAAAATTGGGCATTCGATGCCACGAACACCGCTGGGACTTCCACTCCTATGTATGTTCGGTTTTCTTTGACTAACTAGAGCAGCGTTCAGTAGAGACAAACTCCCGAACGAGGGGCACACGACCAACTCTTAAATGAATAGTTACTTTCGTTATTTTATTGTGTTATGTACTCCCAAAAGAGACCAACCGCTCAGCCTGAATCAATGGAACTCGTTGGTCTAAACTATACCCCGGTGGCGTTTCAGCTGTGTTTGTGGGATCTGAGTGCTTTCTGGAAATGTCTACCCGGAGATATAGGACTTAAGGGGGTACCTACTTGTTAAGTGTGTATTTTGGGGTGTTTTTGTTATGTATGTCCTGGACCTGAGAGTTAATGTAATTGTTTGCGTGCTTTTACTGAAGTCCCCTCTCAGGTCCAGTGGGGAATGTCCCTGGAATATGTAACAAGAAACCCCTTGCATGGGGACTTGCATATAAGGCCAGTTCATCTTCACCCTTAACACCTCGTCTCGTGATTGTAGGGAACAGCTATACCTGCTTTATTACCGCTTGGATTACTGCTTGGGAATACTGCAGCATTCCTCATACTAAGGCGGAAACCCTCTTCTCTCGGGGTGGCCGCCAGAGTTACAAGCTATATATAAAAGGAAAACAAAACAGGATTTTGTGATCAGGGCTGGATTTTTGCCTCTCTAGGCAAAATAAACATTTGCCCCCCCCCTCCCATGCGCTGCCCACCATGTAACATCACAATGCCCCACCCATATGATCTGTCATATGAACCAATGCCAGTTCTGCACACAGTGTGTTTACATTAAAAAGCCTGAAGAGACAGGCTATAAACACCTGCTAATAGCTCTCGACTAATTGCTCTAAGACCAGAATTTCAGTTTTGGTCAAGTTTAGTTCAAGGAAGTGGGCAGCCATCCAGTTAGAAATAGCAGAGATGCAGTCAGAGACACTAGTCAAGAGGGACGGGGAGAGATCAGGAGAGGACAGGCAGATTTGTGTGTCATCTGCATAGAAATTATATTGGAAGCCAAAGGAGCTAAGGGATGCATTTTAGATGGAGAACAGTAGGGGACCAAGGACTGAACCTTTGGGGACACCAACAGAGAGGAATTGGGGAGAAGAAGCAGAGCCAAAGAAAGAAACATTAAAAGAGCGCTGGGAGAGGTAGGAGGATCACCAGGAGAGAGCAATATCTTGTAGACCGATATTGTGGAGGATGAGAAGAAGCTGTTGATGCTCAACAATGTCAAAAGCCGCAGACAGGTCAAGGAGAATTAGGATAGAGTAGTGACCATGAGATTTTGCAGTTAGTAGATCATTGGATACTTTGGTCAGTGCCGTTTGCGCAGAGTGCTTAACGCGGAAACCAGACTGAAGTGGGTCTAGCAGAGAGTTGGACTCAAGGAAGTCTGTCAATCTTGCATATACAATTCTTTCAAGGATCTTGGATGCAAAAGGCAGTAGCAAAATAGGACGGTAGTTGGATGGGGAGTTAGGATCAAGGTTGGGCTTCTTTAGAATTGGGGTTACAGTTGCATGTTTGAAGGGCAATGGAAATATACCAGAGGAGAGAGAAAGATTGAGAATTTTAGTGAGAGGTGGAGAAAGAGAAGAAGACAGAGTATGGATGCGATGCGAGGGAATTGGATCTAGGGAGCAGGTGGTGGGGTACAGACAGGCATACATGCATACAGACACTGACATCCAAACACAAACACAGACATACATACATACACTGACATCCATAAACACATACATACATTCATACTGACAGACAGAGAAATATATATACATACTGACAGACATGCATACATTCATACATACTGACAGACATACATGTTTCTTACCTTTTCCTTGCAGGAGGGTGGCTGGGGCTGATGGGAGTCGGCGCGGCTCTCCCTCTTCACTGTTTGGCTGGCTCTCCACCCGCGCGGAGCGAGAGCTGGAATTTACGCTACGGCTGCATTTTTTTTTAAAGGGGTGCTATTACACGGCCACAGCGCTAACCAGGCCCCTGAGTGTGTGGGCCACCCGATAGGCCCCATCAGTGTGCGGGCCCCGGTGCAAGTGCAGGGCCGCCGGCCCGTGACAACCAGCATGGTTGTCACCCCCTGATGGCGGCCCTGAGCGCCATCACTGGCTTTATTAATTTTGTGAAGCACCATGACACTGAGCAAAGACCGAAAGGGGGTATTCCAGCTGTCTGTGGGGTGAGGCCAGTAGCATGTGAAGGCAGCTCTGCTGGTCGTTCAGCCCCTGTAATGACCAGCTCTTCCAGAAAAATGTTGGGACTGCAAGCAAAACGCTCTGTGTATTGAGGATTGGGGTTTTATTTAAGGTCGTAAAGACCGAAACATGTTTGGACAAATCTCTTATGAAAAAGAGTCTCCAAATAGTAAGCCATTGGCTTCTGGTCCCAATTCTCGGGAACCTAAATCAGCAAGTTTAGCGTCTATTTTATACAGTTCCGCCTTACGCTTTTCCATGGACATGGCCACATTGGCATTGCCTAAAAAGCATAAAGCCCTCTGGGCCCATTCTCGCACAGTGTGCAGGTCAAACTCTCCACTGGTAATGGCGTCGTCCGCCAAAATAAAAATTTGAACAATAGGGCTGGCAATATCTAGGAGCTTTTCCTGCATTGTTTTGAGACCCTGTTCGATACCCTTGCAGGGATCTTTGCCTGATCTCGTTAAGAAAGTTGCCAGCAAAGGGCCACTTTATTTGGTATCGTCGGCTCTAAGTTTGGCTTATATCTCCTTATCTAAAGGCTTATGAAGCCACATTTTACAGAAGTTAGAGATGTGAGTTGGTGGAGCCCATTCGGCAGAGCGTGGGTGTTTAATGACCCTAAGGTCAAAGAAAGGAACGCCCGAAGCATCCAGAAGGGTGTCTGACTCGGGTTCCATGGGTTTTGTGTGGTTGGAGCCTGGAACATTAATATAAGTTTCCTTGACAAATTCCGATGAGGGGTCTCGTAGTGCATTCACTGAAGAATCCCCATCCAAATAGCCAGGATAAAAATCGTCTGCCACGTGATTTTTATCCTGGCTATTCGGGTGGGGAGTCTTCAGCGAATGCGCTACGAGACCCCTCATCGGAATTTGTCAAGGAAACCTATATTAATGTTCCAGAACCCTTTAAGTGGTTTAAAGTAGTAGCCTGTGTGGGGCAAGAGGCTGATAATTTAATGGCTTTGGTGGGAGCCTTGCCCTTGCCTGCAGACCTACTATCCCCTTTCCAGGGGCGTTTGCAAGTTACCTCTTCCAGATCCGAAGGTTGGGAGTCTCCGGAATCCGAGGGCAGTCGCATAGTGGGGTTAGCCTCTGTGTATAGGTCTTTGCGTGAAAGGCTGCTAGCGCCTTGGGAATTGATTCAGCAATTGTGGAAATGAGCCAGGAACAAATTTCCTGAGAAATTGTACTCTCAGATTGGTCAGACATTTTTATGTGGTAGTACTAAGTTGAGAATCAGGCAGTAAGCAGTATAATGGGTGTCACCCACTTGTATGTAAGGAATTTTAAGTAAGTGCGGCACTTTGTAATTAGTTGGATTAGCCACTGATTTATTGTGAGTGGGTTTAGCCTCTATTAATAACCTACAGTGTGGTTAACTGCAAATGTAAGCAAGTGTACATATACACAAAAATAATTATAGGTTGGAAGGCCATTTGGCCTGAAGTTGTGGGAGGACCGTATATAAACCCTACCCCCCTACTTACCTTTGCCAGCCAAGTTGGTTTGTCTCCATAGTTACCTGCACTTCCGGTTCGTTATTTCCACCAGTCCTGCCTCGTACAAACAGTCTATCTTCAGCAGCTCCTGCCGCCGACCTCCGGGCTTGTCCACCGGCTGCCCCGCTGTATTTCTCACTTGTTACTCGGCTATCTGGCTTCCGGTCACGGGAATGGCACGCTCACGTAAGCATTTACGTGGGAAATAGCATTCGGCTCCTAAAAACGTGGGGATAGGCTCCCTATATTACTTACCCGTTCATGTATTTACACTGTTCGTGTACTTCTGCGTTCGTACGGCTAACCGACCGCTTATACTCACCTATGTTCGCCTGTTTCTTACCTACGTTAGTTTAGTCGAAACACGTACGAACAGCTTTTTACAAGCTTTCCGTTTCTCCTAATCTATCACACATGGTCCTGTTATGTCCCTCTTGCACGTTCATTAGCCGAACGCATGAGGTTTAAACATTTAATTTTGATAATTTAATATGTTCCCGTAATTATTTCTTTTTGAAACCTGTGTACACGGTTCTCACTATGTTTTCCTTAAATCTGAGCATCTCTTTTCACCGCCTATTGTCACATTTAATTATGCATAAATTCCCAGAGGTATTCTCTTAAAGAAACAGTTGACTCTTAAATTTATCCAGCTCCACGCTCAATTTGTTCATTAGCTCTTATTTTCTTAAATCTCTGTATGTATTATAAATGCTATACTCTGGTTCCTTATTTTTACTAAAATGAATATATTTCAGAGAGTACTACTCTTCTTCAAAAAACTCCCCTAGGTGGTTCCAGTATACCGTTTCACGGTATCAGGTAAAAAAGGTTAACATTTTTACGTTTCTCCAGAGGCCTCATTCAGCCTCCACTGCCTTTTTTTACAAATTACCTCCCACCTCCCAAAGTGGGTTCAAAACTTCAAGCATACCAGGTCTAAAGATGCCTCACCTTCCATGTTACTATTATACTAACGTGTTAATTTTGTTTCTCTTTTCAACATATCATTACTTAGACCTGCACCATTTAGTAGATTCACTACGCCTTCAACGACCAACAGGCTACCTGGTCCCTGACGTTTCAGTATCAGGTATCAGTAATCTGACCCACTACGATTACACTCCTTCTAAGGCCTCACTTTACCTTCATATCGTTCACAAATGCATACAACGTTCATGTACCTCAGCTTACAGTTTCACTGTTACACACCTTTCCATACGATCTACATTTTTACACTTGGAATACCAGTGGCATGCATCAAGCCTACTAGCATCTTTTTTACCCCTAGGTTCCTGGACTGGACCTGTTCTTCACAGTATATGTATATATATATATTTATGCATATATATTGAAGTCGCCCTGAGCATTGTCTCAATATACAGGTCAAACACTCAAGGTCAGTATCTACATACGTTACATACTTCCGTCAAGAGACAAGCCCCCGTCAGGTTACGGGAACTGACTTTCAGGGTTAGGCGCTGGCCCTAGCTTTCCCAAATAATTCTGCGGTCCACGAGGTCTACACCCCCACCTCATACACGGAGGTTCAGCCCCACGACCAAATCATAGCTAGCCACCTCGCTCGCTCTTTGGGCTACAGTTAGGGCTTCCCATGTCACGGCCACACGTTTTTGAATCTCTTAGAGTCACTGAGGGGGCAACATCCTGCCACCTCGTTCTGGTGGCCACAAAACCCCCTCGGCCCAAATCATAGGTAGAGCCTCTCACCACCACTTGGCAATAGCAGGGCCTCACCTGTCACTTGGTTCTAGGTAAATTCTTCGCCTCGGCACTAGCTAGCATGTCAGTTCTCCGGAGGACTCATCCCACCTCCACTATGCCCTACTTATACATATCATTATTCCTTTCAGAATGTCTCAAGAACCGACCATCGATCCTCCATCAGACGATGTATCCAGCACACCAGCCAGGCCTGTATCTCTGGAGGAATCCCTCACTCCTTCTATTCCCAGATCCCTAAGATATTGGACCATTCCCAAAATATCGACTGAGCTCAGGCTCAGGGGGATCCCCTTCCCAGCCACCGCTAAAAAGGCTGAACTTTACAAACTTCTGACGACCCGAGGCCCGGCACGAGTTCACAAGGGCCTCCAGTTGGCTACTCTGATTCCACCCAGGACACACTGGCTGCTATACTGGCAAATCTGCAAGTCATAAACAGCAGGTTGCTGAAGGTGGAATCGGCCATAGCCAATCCAGGTGACTTTCCAGCTCCAGCAGTCCCTACTCCGGTAACCTCGACCGCTCAGACTGCCATACACCTCATCTCCCCTCCCCTTTCCCCCGCCAACCACTACCACTCCCACTGCCTACGCCTTACCAGCCCACTCTGTCCCGGGCTTCAATCAAGAAAGATATTCTTGATGGAAAGGACGTCATTTTAATGTCCCTCCTCATAGCCTCACAAGACATCTTAGCGAATAGAGCTTACAACTATGGGGACATTTCTGTAGTCTTAAGAGCCAGAGATCCACATTTGAACAAAAAACTCACCATTCTACAGTTTATCGCTTTTGGCACTTATCGAGATGTTATCTGCACCGTGTACCCACATAGGAGAGACCCACACCCCACCACTCCTTCACCACACTCCAAAGACAGGAAGGCGGCCAGAGAGACAAGCTGGGCAGACCCATCATATTCTTGAGTAAGGCGCAGGTGTGCAATAACTTCAACACAGGCGCATGCAGCTACAGCGCATGCAGGTTGTTGCACATCTGCTCCATCTGCTTCAGAGCCCACACCAAGACCATGCGCCCAACACCTAACAAATAGTTGCTTCTACCCGCGCTCTCCACTAACTGGGCGACAGAGAACTATCTGGTGTCGGGTCCTTCCCACAGGCTCTCACACGGGACTCACGACCTTCCACTCACTTTCCAAGGTGATCTTTCCATCAAAACCATGGTGGCTTTTGCCTTCTTTTGCCATTTACACCTAAAACTTTCACACAACACTATCAAACTCTACCTTACCGGAGTACAACACCACATCCTCACTACCTTCCGTAACCACGCTCCTTTTCTGTCTTCCTACCCCATCAAGAAAATCATCAAAGGTATTTTTAAGGTCACAGTTCCTCTTAGCACTACTAGGTTACCTAGAGACAGTCCAATTTTCAGACTCCTTAGCGATCTATTGGACAAATCCCGTTTGACCATAGTACTAATTTGGTCATTAAATCCACCATCTTTTTTTCTATGGTTTCCTGAGACCTAGAGAGTTCACCATGATACATCAAGGAGACACAGTCCAATGTCTAAAACTTTCTCACTTAAAGAAAGTAGACCACCATTACATACTCTCATTACCTTCTACCAACTTTGCTTCTCCTCTACAGTCCATTACATATTAGAGATTCCAAGCAGAAGTACTTTATTTATGTTTGGAAGTGGTCATGGTGTAGGAACCATGTGCAAGCAGAGTTTCAGTATGAATTGCTGGCCATACTGAGATATTTCATGTTGCTGCAAACATGTATTCCTGAACCTATATTGTTAAAACTATAATTTAGATGGCTTGCCCCCTCTTATCTCCACTATAAAATAATAAACAACTAACTCTATTTCCAGCTTCGAGCAGCCCACCCTCGACCTGCCTCCTTGGTGACATCATCAAAATTTAAGATTTTAGCCAATCTTATGGATTGGCTAAAATAGGCAAGGAGGCAGGACGGGGCTGGGCCAAATACCGGCTTGGCCAATCAACAACTCCTCATAGAGATGCATTGAATCAAAAGGCACATTACAGACGGTATTCTGCACACATACACTACAGACCTGATCAACCCCCATGCATTCTCTATTACCCCAATATCACCACACACACACTCTGCAGTCACATTTTAATTCCCAAAACACATGCTCTAGTCCCTATAAACCTCTATCCCAGGGGTGGACTGACCGAGGTAGTGATGGGCCAGGCTGGCTGAACAGCCATACACTCTCTATGGCCGGGGAGATCTGAGATCTCCGCAACCAGAGAGGCACAATTATACATTGTAGGTTGCCCCTGAAGTGTGTAGTAGAGTAAGAGTGGAGAGAAAAGGTTTAAGAAAATTGTAAGGCTGATGTTAGATGATTAGAATTAATGTGGGCAGGTGCATGTTTGCAGAGTTTAAATTACATGAATAGTAGTACATAAAAATAATTAGAAGAGAGGCTATGGATGGATGGAAAAATAAGTTGTGCATGTCTGCTTCAAATTCTGAAAGTCAGGTTCTAATAGTGTCAGATTGTATTGCAATTAAGAGTGAAGGATATGTGCACAGATGGAGACATAGTTAGTCAAGCAAATAAAAACAGTTGTTAACCATCTTTGTAAAGTAACATTAATTGCAAAAGAAGCAAATGCCCAAAGGAGGAAATATGAAAAGTTAAACAGTATGTGGATATTCTGCAGAGTATGGCTTAACAAGGTTTCAGAAATTGCAGAGTGAAACTTAGTTACATACATAGTTGCATGCATCCATCAAGTTCAGCCTTTCTCACATCTGGTTTTGTTGTTGATGCAAAAAAAAACCAAAATACACAGTTTAACCCCTTAAGGACGGAGCCAAATGTACACGTTGTGAACAAAACAAAATGTAAACAGAACCTGGCATTTGCGCTACATGTCTGTCCAACCATAATTCACCTCTTTCATAGTAAATGCACCCACCCTTATTATATATCATAAATATCAAATATTTAGCTATGAAACATAATTTAATATGAAAAAAATGGGAGAAAATAAGATTTTTTTTTTATTTTTTTAGTTCTACGTGACATTTTAACTGTCAATGTCATAATACTGTTTGCTTTTACTGCAATAAAATACACTTATTTGTATTCAGCAAAGTCTCACGTGTAAGACAGTAGCCCCTATGTACAGGTTTTATGGCGTTTTGGGAAGTTACAGGGTCAAATATAACACATTACATTTGAAATTGAAATTCGCCAGATTGGTTATGTTGCCTTTGAGATTGTATAGTAGCCCAGGAATGAAATTTACACCCATAATGGCATACCATTTGCAATAGTAGACAACCCAAGGTATTGCAAATGGGGTATGTCCAGTCTTTTTTAGTAGCCATTTGGTCACAAACACTGGCCAAAGTTAGCGTTAGTATTTGTTTGTGTGTGAAAAATGCAAAAAACGCCAATTTTGGCCAGTGTTTGTGATTAAGTGGCTACTAAAAAAGACTGGACATACCCCGTTTGCAATACCTTGGGTTGTCTACTATTGCAAATAGGGGTAATTTTCATTCTTTGGCTACCATAGGGTCTCAAAGGCAATGTAACCAATCTGGCAAATTTTAATGTGAAAAAAATGAAACACAAGCCTTATATTTGATGCTGTAACTTTTGAAATCACCATAAAACCTGTACATGAGGGTTACTGTTGTACTCGGGAGACTTAGCTGAACACAAATATTTGTGTTTCAAAACAGTAAAAAGTATTGCAGCAATAATATCGTCCGTGTAAGTGCTGTTTGTGCGTAAAAAATGCAAAAAAACTTCACTTTTACTGGCGATATCATCGTTGTAATACATTTTACAGTTTTGAAACACTAATATTTGTGTTCAGCGATGTCTCCCGAGTAGAACAGTACCCCCCATGTATAGGTTTTATGGTGTCTTGGAAAGTTATAGGGTTAAATATAGTGCTAGCAAATTAAATTCCCTTTACTTTCGGCATGGGTTGTCAGGCAGGTCCCGCTAATTGTAATTAATTAAGATACCTAATTATGTAAAAATATTACATAAATATATATGTAGAATTAATATATGTATATATATATACGTATGTATATATGTATATATATATATATCATTTTTTTTAACATATTTTTATTTATAAAAATAATAATATTAACACACGCCAGAGAGCATGACCAGCCTACCGGGTACCAAAATCAGAGCATTACTCACCACTTATAACAAAAGCATGAATGTCGACTGAAACGAAACACTGTACCATTGCCACAAGGATGTATTGTAAAATGCCATTGAAAAAATGTTATCACTATACACTCTCTGTTTATGCAATAAGTGTGAAACGTAAAATGTATGTTAAAGTGTCAATCCGAAATATATATATATAGTGATATTTACGTATATATTTATGTATATAGATATATATATTATTTCGTTCTACGTGTATTTTGATATAAATATATATATATATATATATATATATATTTTTTTTAAAAATGTTTCATTTTTATTGAGATGAAAAGGTTTCGGATTGACACTTTAACATACATTTTACGTTCCTCCAACAGTATAATTTCACTGTCCAACACAAAAAGGGCAGCTTGCATGGGAATGCAGATGGCCTGTCTCGGCAACTAGAGGGTTAATGGTAGACAGATAAATCAGCCTGTGGCTGCATTTTTCTGTCCACCATCTTAAGGGGGAGGTGTCATGCCAAAAGCATGAGTTGGTGTTTGATGTGTGTTTATATATGTTAAGAGTGTTTTTTTGTAAACCTTGGGATGACATTTATTGTGGTCTTTGATCTTGCACCAGGCCTAGACCATAAAACATCTAGATAGCCATCACCAGAGCTGGACACAAGGAATTTCATAGAGTGGGCAATAGACTGCCAGACCAACCCCCTCTGATCCCCCCCAGGGGTCTGCCCACTGAGAAACAACTAGTTTAGATATATGAGGGTGTTGGACTATCCAGGGAGGTCAGTTATTCATTTTTCTTTTTGTCAGTAACTTCTAGGAGACCTATACCATCTAAGACTCCCACAAGAATTCTATATGGGGTAAATATATGTAAGGAATTTCTTGTGTTTTCTCCTATTTTATTTTATGTACTGTTTTGCAATTTGTTTTCTGTATGTCATTTATTTCTGTATTTTGTACTCAGCACTGTGAATCCTTTTTGTCAGATTAAATGTTTACTTAATCAGCTTGTGTCTCTGTTCTCTATGAGCTTCACTCTCCAGAGGAAAGCTCAGGTAAACACGTTACCAAAAGGGGTTAACTATATATGTTTTATCAGTAAAAGTAGAACTGTGATACTATAATTCTCCTGTGTGTGGGGTAACCTAAGACGCCCGGGTTTAAAAGTCTTGGTGGTGGCAGTAGTACTAAGGGGGATAGTGTAGAAGGGATTGCAGGGGTTAATTGAGTGGTTGCTGGGACTAGCAACAGGTAACCAGGGGTCTGGTGTCATTAACCCTGTCACTTCCACACTCTCCCCACTGTCTCGGCTGGGCCTATAGCCCACGCACGTGACAAACTGGCGGCAGCTAGTGGGATATATTTAGAGATTTTTAGTGCTTGCTAGATTTTACCTGTAAAGGGGGTCTTAGCACTAAAAGAAATTGCATACTTGTTTTTGTGTAATTTCCAAAGACCAAGCTCAGTGCTGATTTAAAATACATACAAAGTGCAAAACAGTTCTCCCCTCCCATCTTTTGTTTTTCTTTCTCTATCCTATTTGTGAATATGGAGGCCTATCGCAAACAATCAAAAGAGGCCTTGGAATTGTTGTGCCAAGAAAAGAATTTACCAACTTTTGGCAAAAATAAGGCACAACTTATTGCTGACCTTGTGGAGGCTGACAGCCATATTTTCCAGCCAGAGACGGACACTGAAAGGGTTACCGAGCTCCCTACTACTGCAGGAGTGTTGCTTACTGAAATGCCTGGTGGTTGTACCCCTCAAAACATTAAGGACATTTGCTCAACTGATTTATTTCGGCAACTGATGGCTGCAAATCCTCAGGAGGCCCTGCATGTGATGATCCAACAGCAGGCTGCAGAAAGGGAATCTGCAGAGAGGCTAGCCGAAAGGGAGGCACAAAGGAGACATGAGCTGGAACTTGCTAAACTGCAATTTACCCTTCAGTCCTCACTGAACAGCAATGCATCAGAGTCCAGCACACGTAGGCTCCGTAAGGATGATTTTCCTTCCCTCGAAGAAGGGACAGATTTGGATGTATTTTTAAAAAGTTTTGAGAAAGTATGCAGGCAGCATCAACTACCCTCAGACCAGTGGGGCAGATATTTAACTCCACAATTGAAAGGGAAAGCCTTGGATGTGTTTGTGTCCCTTCCCCCAGAGACTGATAACAACTATGAGGCAATCAAATCTGCATTGCAAAAAACTTTTAACCTTACTCCTGAGTCTTACAGGAAAAAGTTTAGGAGTATGCAGCAATGCCCATCATCCAGCTGCATTCTATATGTTGCACAATTAGAAACCACGTTCCGGCAATGGGTAACAGGAGTACAAGCTACTACCTATGAAGCCCTTAATGACTTACTGGTCCTGGAGCAGTTCTTGCAGACCCGGAGCCCTAATGTACGAGAGTGGATTTTGGAAAGAAAGCCAAAAAATGCTAGAGCTGCTGCAGAACTGGCAGACGACTATGCCGACATCCATGCACCCACATCCAGGCGTGGACTTGTGTCAGCTGCTACTTCGACCTGGAGAGGAGCTACAGTTCAATCACCACCTGTAAGATCTGCAGTGAGAACTTCACCACCGACTGCCAGCGTAGCCAGGGCTATATCAAGTGAGTCAGATGCCCGCCGTTGTTTTCGATGCAACCAGATTGGTCATCTGAGCAGGACTTGCCCCACGAGGAATATACCCTCACCAGCCCGTGGAGGGGCACCATCAGTTTTGCTTGTGGGTGGGTCTGTGGGGAAACGAGAGGATAACCTGCAGAGTGTAATTGTGGGTGACCGAGTGACCATGGGACTGAGAGATTCTGGAGCTTCCTTCACCCTGGTGCGACCTGAAGTGGTGAATACGGAGGACATAATCCCTGGAAGAACCATGTCCATCAAAGGAATTGGGGGTGTACGCCCCGCTGTGCCCTTGGCACGTGTGTACCTTGATTGGGGTGCGGGCAAAGGTTTGCGGGAAGTGGGGATTTCAGAGGATATCCCTGTTAATGTTCTGTTGGGGAATGATTTGGGCAGGATGCTCTGTCACTATGCTCCAGCGGACACGGTTTGTGAGCCAGAAGGGCTGACTGCTCCACCTAATGTATTGTGTGAAACTTTGGGAGACATTGTGAAGTGTGATTGCTGGGAGGGAGAGCAGGGTGTGGATAAATATCTACCTGTAACTGAACCAGTGATGTCTACCAAATGTAAGATAGGGGTGAGTAGTGAAGTGCCTGTATTAAAATACTGTGAGGCTGGGATGTCAGAGAGTAAGGGAGAGGAGGAAGGTGAGAGCCAGGGTAACAAGTCAGCAGCGGTAACAAGTCAGCAGTGGGTCACGGCTGCAGAGTCTGAGGGGCTATGTGAGATTGCGAGAGGATGGCCTGCCTTGGAGAAGAAATTATGTGAGTGTGTGCAAAATTCTGTATCTGATCAAGGGGGGTCAAATGTGTCCTGTGAAAATGTATGGGAAAAGCCTTCCAGCGAGAGGGGCCTGAAGGAATATATGTGCCAATATGTGCCTGAA